AGTTGCAAAATCCGCTTGAACATGACGCTGCTTTTTTCGAAGTTTCTCAAGAACCATTCGAGCCAGAGAATTCGTTTTGGCATCGTTGAATAGAGAATTGAATGGGGTGGTCATGACCCCCATGACCCCCCCCTCGATCCGCCCTTGTTTCGAGGATCATTACTCACATTATTCATAAAACAGCCTTTAGAACTATTGATAAAAAATAAACAAAAATTGTCTATTTTGCTCAAATGCTTGCTGATAGCTTTATATTCGGAAAAACCATCCAATCTTAAACCGCTGAATTAATCATGAATAAACCTTAAATAATTTGAATTAACGATTTTTCCGCCATGTTGCTTCAGCGTTTGAATATTGGAGTGCGTTCCGGACACGCCGTTGTAGGTTGGGAATAGACAACGGAACGTGCTCCACCCTTGTATGCAACATTTGTCAGTTGTCAATCCTACATCATTTCCGAAGCACAAATCGCATTTACCGCACTTTTTCCCCGTCTGCTTAGGAGTTCGCAACTTTTTTCAAGCAGTCAGGAAAAAATCCAGAAACATTTCAACAATCGCGCATCTTTTCGCAGCAAACAATGGGCTAAAGCCCTGCAATGGATTCACCCGATACGAAAACCTTAACCTCACTGGAAAGGGAGCACCTGAAGGCCCAAGATTCGCGTCTGGTAAGCGCCCACAAGGCCGAACAGCTAGAGCGTCAAGCTCAGAAGCATTGGGACTTGTTCTACAAAAGGAACGAAACCAGATTTTTCCGCGATCGACACTGGACAACCAGAGAGTTTGCTGAACTTGTGGGTGAGCATAATGGCGCTCAGAAGAGAGTGCTTTTTGAGGTGGGCTGTGGAGTGGGCAACTTCATTTATCCGCTGATCGAAGAGCAGTTGAACCTGCACATTCTCGCGTGCGACTTGTCGCCCAGGGCGATCGAGCTGCTAAAGAACAACCCCTTATACGACGCTGGGAGGATCAGGGCGTTCCACTGCGATATCAGCTCTGAGCAGTTTGTTGACCACGTGGAGTCATCCTCTGTAGACGTAGCAACGTTGATCTTCGTGCTCTCAGCCATTCATCCTGACAAGTTTGCAGTAACTCTGCAGAACATCCACAAGCTTCTAAAGCCGGGTGGGTTACTGATGTTCCGAGACTACGGGCTCTACGATATGGCTCAGCTGCGGTTCAAACCTGGCAATAAAATAGCCGACAACTTCTACATGCGACAAGATGGCACTAGAACCTACTTTTTTGCCACCCAATTCGCCCAGGAGTTGCTGGAAAGAGCGGGCTTCAAGGTGATGAGTAACGAATATATTCATCGCAGAACGATCAACCGGAAAGAGGACGTGGATGTGCCCAGAATTTTTGTGCAACTCAAGGCTCAGAAGATCGCCTGAATAGTGGTAAGTTCAGTAGGAGAATAGTGGTTACCATGTGGCGTAAATTTTTTGAATGATGACTGCATAGTTCAGATGAACAACTGATTACAACCCTTCATTGTCTTTCGCTCCTATCTGACCATTTTTATTGAATTTATATTTTCGAGGTTGTCTTTTTCTGGTACTCATAGGTGTCTTGGTTTCAGGTTAACAAAAGGCGCAGTCTGCGGCTTCGATGGAACTGCTGGCAGGTAAAAATCGTTGACTTTATCCTTACCACTTCCCCTTAGATTAATGATGATTCTTCTACCACTTAAATGAATTGTTCCTGATTCTATTAATCATGCACTACCAACTGAGCCCCTCTAGTCGAACCACCAGACTGTTATTTATTAGAATTTCGATCTGAACAATGTTTTTTGCGTTTCAGGTTGAAAGCATTCCTGCAAACGCCTGCAACTTATTGACGGTGAGTTCAATCGTTATTCTAGTGGTTTTTTGGAAACTTTACACGTGATGACAGCATAGTTCAGATGAAAT